CACTGCTGTGCATAATTGGCTGCCGCGTTTCGCCCACAAATAGACAGTCAATTCACTTTACAGTAAATTCTAGAAGACGTGGAAAGCGCTATAATCAAATGCAAGGATTATTATTATTATTATTAGAAGAAAAGTGGGAGAGATTACAAGATAAATTCCTACACCGGGGTTATCGGAATGCGCAATGCTTTACCGCATAAGGATGCTGAAGCGGGTTCCATAACAGTATTTCAGTAGGATTTGGATCAATACTCGAGAAAAACTTGTATTAAACAGTACAGAGAAAGAGCAGGGGAATAGGAAGAGAGCAGAGGGGAGCAAGCGCCAGCATGGACACAGTAAGGATGTCCTTTGGATGAGATGTTAATCCGATATTAAAGATCCCGTGACACGAGTCGGAAAGACAAGGGTGTTTGCCCCGTTTCCAGGCCAACGATCTCCCAGATTGATCATTCGGTTTCAAGGTTGTTTGTGGAACATTGCATTGCATTTGCCTCCAAAGATACATAATGACCGCACCTAACAGTAAATCCTGTGAAGCGCTTTGAGACATGCCCTTGATGTGAAAGGTGTTATATCAAATGCAAGGATTATTGCTATTATTAGGATCTTATAAGTGTGTTTGACTGTAGTTAGATGTGCGAAAGCAATATAAGTTAATGTTATATATATAACACCTGCTGAACTGTCTCAACTCTCCTCACCAGTAATTATTACACTGGGCTGTCAACTCAATGCTTTTTTTTCATTACCATATACATTTGCAGTGATCTGCATAATTCTTCCAAGTGTTTAACTGTTTGCTCCGTTAATGTTTTTTTTAAAAAAAATACTCCCTAATTTCCAGCTGGAGAACTGGGTCAACGGCTTTTCTTCACGAATAGAATTCGAGAAGCGATTGTTGGGTCTTCGAACTGCGGTCAAGCTCTCTGGGCCGCTACCCTGCGTGAGGGTTGCTATATAAATGCAAGCTGCCGTTGCTGTGTTCTCTGATGCCATTTAAGGCGTTAACATTGCGGCTTATTCCTGCCTATCAATGGTGTCTTGGGGGAATGAGTACTGAAAGCGCATCTCTTTAGTGTCAGGCGCTGAATTATAATCAGTGGAAGACGCTAATTGGGTGCCCGAGGAAGATTAAGGCCACTGGGTGAGCGGTGAATGTTCCACACTGATCTTTCGCCTCTGGCAACAGGATTGATGAGAGGAGCTTTCCTCTTGTGACCGCACAGGCCCCCCATTAATGAAATACAATAATAAAATTCATCACTAGTTCTCAGTCTTGCTCACAGTTCACGAGGACAACTGATGTGGGGAATGGAGATGTCACACCGGAGCAGTTTGTTTTCAGAGGGTGGGTTTAAGACTGGCTCCGGATTCCCTCATGTCCCTCGTGCCCTCGTTCTACCATCAGTGGCCGCACTTTCATGCCCCCGAAACTCTGAAACACTATCCCTCAATCCCTCTGCTTTGCCCCTCCGCCCCCATCTTCAGATGCAAGTTGTTGTTGTTTGTTGTTAAGGCACAACTGAGGTGTACATGCTAAATGGATTCCTTAGTCCATAATCACAACATTTTGGTAACACAGCATCCACTGTTTAATGTCCTGCTTGTAAAACTTAACTGTTAATTCCACGTTGCCGATTACATTTCACCCACAAAATACACAGTCAATTCAGACGTCTCAATGATATGATAAGGCGCTATATTAACGCTTATATTGTAGATATAATAAAATATCTATATTATATTATCGCTCCTTCCCTTCCCATTTTCAGGTCTCTGCTGAAGACCTTTCTTTTCCAGCGCGCCTTTGGTCACCTTCCACCCCCCCTCCCCCTGGGCCGGTCCTGGGATCCGTTACTGTAAAGCGCTCCGAGACGCCGTCCGGCGTGGAGGGCGCTATATAAATCCAAGTTGTTTTTGTTGTTATATCAAATGCAAGGATTATTATTAATATTCCTATTATTAATGGGTGCTATTTAATTCAATTTTGTTTTATTCAGGCGCCTTGTTATTGCTCAAAGCAGGTTTGTGTCCTGTCAGTTATCAGCCCTTGATTTCTCAAACCAATACCATTTCCGTCTCATTCCCTTAACGAGAGGAGATGCAGTTCCCAGGCATCATTGAAATGCCGAGCCATACATTGCACATCTGACTGCAGAACGCTGGTCTCACATGACCGTCGCACAGAGAGAAGCAAATTTATCGCAGCAATCCGAGTGAGCTGTTCAGCAGCAGGTAAAGGCTGAAATCACCAGGAACACACTGGCAGCTGGAGCTTGTCCGTCAGGACACGTATAATTGGATCCCGATGGGAGATGAAGGGGAAGGAAAAGAAGGATCCAATGGATTGAGAGACTGCTGACATCTTCTGTCTGCACACCCCAGGCCACTGAAGGGAACAACTCCGCACGTCAAATACCATCTCCTCTCATGTGAGCATCTCCTCGCATGTGACCAGCTCATGAGGCGATGCTGAAATTGTGTTGTGTGCCAGATTTCAATTTATTATTATTATTATTTTTAAAAAGTGAAGATTTCAACAGGACTGCGAGGATTGGCTCTTGGGGATATGGGGAAACGGTGGCGGGTAATTGGTGTTGAGCTACAGATCAGCCATGATCTAATAGAATGGCAGAACAGGCTTGAGGGGCTGAATGGCCTAATCCTCTTCTCCTGTTCCTATGTTCTTGAACTAGCTGAAACTGATCAAGTTGCAGCTATAGGCTGTAGCGATCTCCCCCTTCCCCACATCCTGTTTAGTTACCCCTTGTACTTACCTGCTCAGGTTAAACCCTTAACTCTCCAGTGCCTTGGGATGTCCTTTTGACGTGAAAGGCGCTATATAAATGTAATTTATTTTGTTGTTTCCCCCCCCCAATTGGCACCCACTGAGTTCCATCCAGTTCAAAGTTAATCTGCACAAGGTGAGATTCTGTTACTCACAACCCACAGTCAGTGGATCGAACCAACATACTTTCCACCCCCTCCGAAAGTCCAGAACGAAGGAGGAAAGGAGTGATGTACTTGCATGCAAACCACCGATTGAGCCATGAACGACGGCAAAGCCCAACACAAATCTCAACAGATTGGTTGCCACATTCTATGATGCAATAATAAATATATAATAATAATCCTTGCATCTAATACCATGCCTTACGTCTCAAAGCGCCTCATAGAATATACTGTAAAGTGGAGTGACTGTGTATTTAGTGGGCGAAATGTAACCAAATTCTAGATCACGTTTGCTTTGAGAATCACCTTCTCACTTCACGCTGCTGATGAAATGGACTCCTTATTTTACCCGGATTCGCACACTCTTACCACCCAGATCCTAATTTATCTGATAAACCATGTTTCTATTTTTACCCCAAGCCAATTCCCTCTCCTTCTGAACTTCCCAATGATGTCTTGCGTTATATCGGTTTGAGATACATCCATTGGGTAATACCTCGCCAAAACTAGCCTTGCTTTTTTTTTCCGATTTAAAAAAAAAGTTCTAGAATAAATAAAGTTTAGTGGGGGTGGGTGGGGTGGGGGGGGGGGTGGAGAAAAAAAAAACCCAATGTGTTGGCGTTTTCCGACAAAAACGAGCTGGGGGAAAGGGAAAAGCGAGAGAAAGAGATGGAGGGGAAAGCCCATCAATTGAAAGTCACAACTATTTAACTCAACATTAAGCTCTCGGAGGGAGAAGGCGGCTATTGCAATGAATTCCTTTTGCTGCATCAGAGAGAGAAATACATGTGTGTGTGAAAAAAAATGATGACATTTGATGGGTTCAGTGTGGGAGAGAGATGGGTGTTCTCTGTCCTTGGTGCTGGAATGTAATATTGGACTCTTCCCCCAAGTGCCCACTCTCTTTCTGTTCTGGGTTCACAGATTCCCTCCCCACTGGGTCATTCAATCTCTCTCTCCCCCCCCCCCCCCCCCCCCCAACTCCACTCCAATGCTGGTACATTTCAGACTCTAGGATGGTCTTCTGTCTCTCCACATTTTTTTTCCTTGGGTCTGGTTCAGTGTCTCCATCCCCCCACCACCCACAAACACACACACTCTCTCACACACACACACCCTCAGAGCTCATGTCTATCCTTATATTGTTGCTCTCTGATTGATGCCACACTCACTCTGACCAGAGGCTGATACTATCCTTGGAACCAAAGATGTCTCTCCCCCTCCCCACCACCCCGAGGATGATACTCTGCTCCAGGTAATCTTAATCCTTTGCTGCTGTTATCTCAAAGACAAAAGCAGCCTTACCCCAACCCCCCCCCCCCACCCACCCACCAGGTTGTTATCTCTGGGGCTGATGTCCTGAATCCCACCCCTGGGATTGAGGCTGTGGGACATGTCTTTGCCCCCACCCCAGGTGGCTGAGGCTGTCTGCAGGAGAAAGAGGAGAGTCCATGTCTTGACCTATACCACCCTCCCCCCCAATATCTTTGGGGCTGTCTATGTGGGAGGGGAAGGGGGAGATTTCTTGATCTCTCTCTCTCTCTCTCTCTACCCCCTCCCTCCCTCCCTCCCCCCCCCCCCCAACATCAGCATCCCCAGGGCAGTCGCTGGAATCAACTTGAAAGCCATGCCACGTGATATCTCCCGTCTTTACTCTATCCTGGAGGCTTTGGAGATCATCTGCAGTACAGTAGGAACCTGCTTTGCTTCTGTGTTTCTCAGGAAATAAAAGCCAGAAAACACAGGGCGAGAAGGAGAGAGAAAGAGAGAGAGAGAGAGAGAGAGAGAACACACAGGATTCGGATGTCAGACCCAAGGAGCAAGGCTGGCAGGAGGAGAAGGTGGTGGAGGAAGACGATTTAGCTGCTTGGCTTGGTTTGGTTTGGCTTGGAAGATTATTATTATTTATTTATTGATTTATTATTATTTTGGGGGGTTGGGGGTGGGGGGGGGGTGGTCCATTCATTTGTGTGGCGTTTGGGGGAAGAGGAGAAGAGAAGAGAGAGAGAGAGAGAAAGAGAGAGAGAAGGAGAGAGAGTGGTTGGGGTGGGGGTAGGGGGGCAGGGAGGAAGGTGATGGATGGTTGAGTTATTTTCTGATACCTCAACTTGTCCTCGACTGTGCACTCAGAGAGGGAATTGGGATCACACACACACACACACACACAAAAAAATTAATGATGTGATGCTTCACGACTCCCTCGAGTTGCTGTGTGAGTGAGTGAGTGAGTGAGTGAGTGGAGTGTTGGAGCTCTTTGGTGGTTTGGCTTTTAGCAGAAGATGCAGAAGGCGATCCGACTGAACGATGGCCACGTTTCTTACTTGGGGCTCTTGGCTAAGAAAGAGGCGACCAAGAGAGGCTATCTGAGCAAGAGGAGCGCCGACAACACAAAATGGCACACCAGATGGTTCTCCCTCCTGCAGAATATGCTGTTTTATTTCGAGAATGACAGCAGCTCCAGGGCTGCAGGGCTGTACCTGTTGGAGGGCTGTGTGTGCGACAGGGCGTGCTCCCCCAAACCATCCCTGTCGACCAAGGATTCGTTGGAAAAACAGGTAAGGAAGAGAGAGAGAGTGACTGGGAGAGGGTGGGGGACACTGGGAGAGGATGGGGGACACTGGGAGAGGGTGGGGGACACTGGGAGAGGGTGGGGGGCACTGGGAGAGGGTGGGGGACACTGGGAGAGGGTGGGGACACTGGGAGAGGGTGGGGGACACTGGGAGAGGGTGGGGGACACTGGGAGAGGGTGGGGGACACTGGGAGAGGGTGGGGGACACTGGGAGAGGGTGGGGGACACTGGGAGAGGGTGGGGGACCTGGGAGAGGGTGGGGGCACTGGGAGAGGATGGGAGACCCTGGGAGAGGATGGGGGACACTGGGGGAGGATGGGGGACACTGGGAGAGGATGGGGGACACTGGGAGAGGATGGGGGACACTGGGGGAGGATGGGGGACACTGGGAGAGGATGGGGGACACTGGGAGAGACTGAGAGAGGATGGGAGACCCTGGGAGAGGATGGGAGAGAGGTGTGTGTGTGTCTGTTTGTGCTACTGCGCCAAATCTTGTGTCCAACTCCAGTTTAAACCCCAACCACATCAGAGGTTTCGACTCCCAGCTTTTATTTTATTTATTCTTTAATGATGGCGTTTTTCTTTCTTTTCCCCAACAGCAAACAAACAAACAAACAAAAAATACGTCTCATACACACACACACACACACACAGAGAGAGAGGAAATAATTCCTTTCCCCATCTTATTCAACGTCTTCTTGGTCGGAAAGATCTCTCCATGTGCAGCAGCAACTATTTAATTGCCGACTCCTTCTTGCGATGCACATTAATACTGATGTCAGGTCCCAAAGCTGTGTGTGTGTGTGTGTGTGTGTGTGACTGTTTGTGTGACTGTTTGTGTCTCTGTGTGTGTGTGTGTGTGTGTTGCAGCCCATCTCACCAACTCTGTTCTGTTTCCTGCTCAGTGTTGCAAAGCATTTAAAAATGAAAGCACTCACAAAGGGCTATAACTTCCCCCTCTGCTCAAAACTATTCTGACTTTCTAAATATATGTGTGCAGTTATATATATAATATATATATATATTATATATATAACACATTAGTGTGGATTTGAATGTTTTTCTTTGAAACAAGTTATTTAAATTATTTTTATATATATATATATATAAAATCAACAACAGCCCTGTCTGCAATTACTATGTTTAACTATTTAGATCGTGTCACAGAGGATGCAATAAATAAACCCATCAAATTAGAAGGAAGAACTTTGAATGCAGTGTTTCTTTCTGGGAGGACTGGGGGGGGGGGGGGGGGGGGGTGGGAGCAAACGTTGAGTGGAATGAACGTGGAAGCAATGCCCGGAGAGGGTTATTAAAGTGGTCAAAGTTAATGAAGTGTTCCTGGGATAAGTGGGTGAGGCGAGGGATCACTTGAATGAAACCTATTTGCGTGTGTTTGTTATTTCTGTAACATTGCCTGAGGTCTGTGTAGTTGGAGGAACCCCCTCAGCGGCGCCCCCTGGTGGGTGTGCAATGGAACCAACACTGTAAAGTGAGGGGGGGGGGGTGTGGGGGGGTGGAGGGGGTAAATGTTCAACCCCCCCCCCTTCAAACGTCCATCTCCATTTTAATGTGACATCTTTTTGGACGTCGATTTATTTCGTTTTTCTGGAAATCCGTAATTTCCCTTTCGTTTGACTCGGCTTTAACCGCATCAAAAAATATCACCTTTGGCTTTCCTCGCTCCCACTGGGATAGTTTAATGGCTTAAGCGCAGATGAAGGGGAATATTGTCGAAAACTAAGCTTTTTAAATGTAGCCGCAGTTGTCAGCCCATAACGGGGGCTTTTTTTTTCTTAGGAATCATTTCGACGTAGGGTTAGATCCGAGCGGAAATATCCTTGTTATCTTAAAATGTGTGCGTCTGTCTGTCTGACCGTTTCCAAGATAGTATCGATCCCAACCCAATATTGATCATGCACCAAAAACGTCAATTTAAGTTCTCCTTAAGATGCAAACGGAGCTGATGTGGATTGCTGTTGTGGCGATGGATTGCCGGATTAGCAGATCTTATCGTGTCATTTAAGCTTGTGCAGAATTTGCTGACGTTGCAATGTTTGCCTTAATAAAAAAAAAAAAACGGCCTGGGAACTCAAAATGTCCAAAAGTTATGTCAATCGGAGCCAGCAGTCAGATTCTACCCTCCAATGATGGTTTGGTTAGGGAACTATTCCATCCTGCACCATTCCTCAGCGACCTGGCGTCTTATTGACATTCTTATTGCAGGTTATTGCAAAGTGCTTCGTGCAGTGGGTTAAGACTGTGACAAGACACAAACATTCACTGCAGCTCAGGGTTAACTCCCAACATGGTAAGAGCAGATTTTTCAGCGGAGGGAGAGGGGTAGAGGGGGTGGGGAGGAGAGGAAAGGAGTGGAATTGGTTGCAATATTGATTGTTTGCCTATGAGACGTACCACAACCACAACAACCACAGCTTGCATTTATATAGCGCCCCTCATGTAGAGTCCCAGAGCACTGGATCTCGGTCAAATGAGGTTGAGATTGATCGGGATTGGGCACTCTCTGTCTTTCTCTACAGAGTTTGGAATCATTCGTTCTGCAGATAACATGTGACACGGCATGGTATTGGCACCTGTGGGTTCATAGGTAGCTACAGTGTTTTGTAAAGAACCGTGTGCCAGCATACCGGCACATTATTAAACCCTTCAGAGATGCTTTATGTTAAATGAGCAAAACACATAGCGAAGCTGTTAACGGAATCTGTGCTGCCCGTTTCTTGATTCCATTACAAAAAGAGCATAGTAGAAGGTGAGACCTTTGATGTTCTGATGCCTTGGGCAAGCAGGTTTTCTTGTTGGCCTGCGTGACAGCCACGTGACTAGTAGACGAGATGGATATTGGATGGCCTCTCGTTGTTTAGGGTAATCTTGGGACAGAAGCCAGGGAAAGTATTTAGTTTCTAAATAAATACCTCTCGACTCTCTACCCCCTCCTCGCTCCCTCCCTTCCCTCACCCTGACCATTTACCCCCTGCTCGGGTCCCGACCCAACTGTCCAGCGCCTTGGGACGTCCTCCCGACGTGAAAGGCGCTCTAGAAATGAAATGTTGTTGTGGTTGTAGTTACACAGAGAGTGATTTGACACCCTGGAGCGGTTACAGGAAAGGTGGGTGCGTCCAGGATCCTGGGAACTCCTTTCGGAGAACCGTCTTAATAATGATAATCCTTGCATTTGATATAGTGTCTAATCATATCTTCGAGACGTCTCAAAGCGCTTCACAGGACTTGTATACGGGTGCAACCCACTCGCTTAGAAAACACACACTCAGCAATGAAGAGACATTTTCTGGGCTGTAGTTTTATCTGTTTAGTAATGTGGGGTTTGGACATGCGCTGTTTCTCTGACTTGCTTTTTCCACGATTCCGTATAAAATATTCAGAGGCTGAAGCAGAAAAGGAATTGCTGGTGAGGCGAAGAACTACAGAGTCTATACATTATTCCATCGGTTTCCAGCAAACGTGCTCAGGGTTGATTTTTTTTTTGAAAGGAGGTCTTTTGATAATAAATCGGTCTGTTGATGGGAATAATGAATACAGTAGCTGTTAAGCAGGAGTGAATGGACGGTCATGACTTTCCAAGTATCATACGTGAGGAATTTATGTAAAGATAATAACAAGAAGAAAATTGGTCACTCAATCCACGACTGTTTGTGGGACACTATTGTGCGCAATTGGCTGCTGCATTTCATCCACAAAATATACAGTCAAATCACTTTACAGTATATTCTGTGAAGCATTTTGAGACACCTGTGAAGATGTGATAAGGTGTTATATCAAATACAAGGATTATTATTATGTAGACATACATATAAATACAGAACACATACACTGTCTGTTTCATCTCAAGTATTGGAAGTATTTTTCTAATATATTTACAGGGAATATACTAACACATAACTCTTGGGAATGACTTGAGTTTGAAGAGCATCAAATGCACAGAATTTTCTTTTCATTTTTATTTTTAAAAAAACGCGATGAATCAGTGAATATTCAATGGGCATCGTGACTTAGAGACAATGCTCCTGTCTCCGAAGCAATCCTGGATGATTTTGGCTCTAAATCCCAGTGTTGTCGTCTCCCAGAGTTTGACTGAATTCTCTGTTTATGGACCCAAACATTTGTAATGGAATCGCGGAGTCCTGCAGCTCAGTGGTTAGAGCGCTCGCCTTGCAAGCAAGAGGACCTGGGTTCAATTCCCGGCAGGATGAAATGTTAGGCAAGTTTCCTTACTCCACACGCCTCTGTTTACCGAGCAGTAAGTAGGAACCCAGTTGTTAGTCGATTGGCGGATCGCTTTTCCAGGGATAATAATCCCTTCAAAAACAATAATAATAATAATTTGGTCACTCAATCCATGACTGTTTGTGGGACACTGATGTGCGCAATTGGCTGCTGAGTTTCACCCACAAATTATACAGTCAATTTACTTTACAGTGTATTTTGTGAAGCGCTTTGAGACATTTTTGAAGACATGCTAAGGAGCCATATCAAATGCAAGGATTATTATTATTATTATTATTATTATTATTATTATTATTATTATTATTATTGTGACCGCTTCAAGAGGTAGAATTGTAGCCATCAGGCACAGGCTGGTTGGGCCCAGTGGGTCATTCTATGAGGAAATGTAATGTTACATGAAAAAAATCTCATGACTCGTCGATTGCTGTTTGCCAGCGAAAGAGTTTCCTTTTCCTTTTTAAACCAAAGGCACTGCCTGTAACCGGGTGACACCATTGTCTGTGTGCGTCGCCCACACTGGGCTTGAGAATGGGTGCGATTCAATAACGGTGCTTCCAGATGGCGTTCATTTCAGTCCTCTCTCCCACCAATCTGTTCTCTGCTGCCTCCAAAGAGAAGCTTTTCAATTAACATGTCAACACGTTCCTCTTCTCTCAACGCAAGACCCGGGTGCCCTGAGGCTGCCTATCCCTTCCCCATTTGACCTGACGTGGCTTTTGAAGG